GCGGGCTCCGACCTGCTCGACATCTCCTGCCCAGCCCACCCCACCATCAGTGATCTGGCCTTCAGCCTCTCTGCCCCCATCTTTTGGAACTCCACCCCACAGTCCCTACACCGCGCTCCCTCCCTCGCCTCCTTCAAGGCACATCTCAACAGCTTCCGCATCGACCGTGCCTTTGGCCACGCTCCTACCCTCCCTGCCCTCCACCCCTTCTGATCCCAGTTCCCCCAGCAAATCCCCGACTGTCCAGCGCCTTGGGACATCCTCCTGATGTGAAAGGCGCTGTGTAAATATAATTTGTTGTTGTTGGTGGTGGTGAGATATTAAACCAAGCCTCCCATTCCCCACCACTTACCCTTCCCCACCCCCTCCCTCACCCCTTCCCCCACTGTCACCCCACTATCCCTATCTGTGCTTCTCAAAGTGATTCCCCCCCACACTAATCAAGAAAATGATGCCCGCTTCTATCCCGGTGACCTGGCCACTCTTCCATTTATTTTTTAATAAATTTATAAAAATTAAATGTATTCATTTAATTCAATTGGCTGCCGCATTTCACCCACAAAATATACAGTCGATTCACTTTACAGTATATTTTGCAAAGCGCTTTGAGACTTCTCGAAGACGTGATAAGGCACTGTATCAAATGCAAGTATTACTATTATCAAACGCTAAATCAAATTGGGGAATTTTTCCTGCAATAATACAGTTTATCCAAAGGCTAGCACAACACAAGGGCTCAGGGTTACAAAGGGCAATCTGAGGGCAGACACCAGGAAGTATTTCTTTACCCAGAGGGTAATTAGCGATTGGAACAGGGTTACTGGGCAGGGTGGTTGAGGCCAGGACATTGGAAACAGCGCAAGACTAAGGTGATGATAAGGTGGGTGCTCTGGAGGCTTGCGTTTGGATGGGATAAAGGGTATTCTTCATCCAAATTCATTTTGTGGTCCATCCTGCTTGTCCCACATTCCACCATCAGTGGCTGCACTTTCAGCCACTACAACCCGAGACGCTGGAACATTCCCCCTCAATCCCTCCGCCTTGTACCCTGAAGACCTTCCTCTTCAGCTGTATCTACGGTCACCTCCCCCCCATCTTGGCCTTATGCTCCACCACTGTCAAGCGCTGTGGGATGCTACTCTGCGTGAGGGGTGTTATATTAATGCAAGTTGTTGACCTCTTGTGCCCACGATCAGGTGAATTGGTTGTTCCGACCCTTCTACAAGCCCCGCAGATTGAAAATGTCAGAGAGGGCAAATCCCTGAGCCTGCAGTGTGCTGTGGAAAACGCCCACGTGGCAAATTTCTCTGTGCAATGGTACCAGACACAGCCGAGCAGAGGGCGAGTGTGGGTGCTGACACATGATGTTGAAGGCAATGTACTGAGCAGTGAAGGATTCAGGAAGCGATTCCATTCATCTCGAAACCTCACCAGTAACGGATTCTCCCTGGAGATCATCAACGCGCAACTCAACGACTCTGCCAACTACACGTGCGGCGTCTGGGGGCAGATCTTCGGAACAGGCACTCAGCTGATTGTCAGCAGTAAGTGAGCCGGAGGCACTTTTGCAGCACAACTGGGGGCAGGGAATCATCCCGCTCAGCTCCCATTAACCCTGCAAGCCAAAGCCTTCAGGGTAGTCCTAGCTGGACAAGCAGTGGGAAAGTTTGCCTGACAGTGCTATGGATGTCAAGCTTTGTGGTTGTATCTGGTTAAACTCCAGCAGTTATCCCAATGCACACTCTGGGTTCCCAAGCCTTGGCCCTTGCTAACCTGCACTTACTAAGTTCAGGAATTAGGAACGCAGGATGCATCCCTCCAGGGACGGTGGAGGGCAGGGGAGGAATTAGGATGATCGAAAGCACAGTCGCAGAGGATGGTCTTGAGATGGGTCTTGACGGAGGCAGGAGAGGGGGTGAGGCAGAGGAACTGTGGGATGGAGTTCCAGAGGGTGCAGGCAGAGTGGCTGAAGGCCCGCTACCAATGGTGGGGTGGGCGAGGCGGGGGATGTGAAGCAGGCCGGAGCCCAATGAGCAGAGGGAGCTAGCAGGATGGTAGGGGGTTAGGTGGTCACAGTGGTAGGGGGAGCAAGACCATGGAGGGCTTTGAAGGTGAGGACCAGGATCTTGAACTGTATCCTCTGTGTGATGGGAAGCCAGTGGAGTCGGGTGAGGATGGGGGTGATAGGGTCGCGGAGCCTGGTGCAGGTGAGGACATGGGCTGCAGAGTTCTGGATAATCTGCAACCTGTGGAGGGAGGAGTTGGGGAGGCCGACAAGCAATGAGTTTGCACAGTCGAGACTCGATGTATGAGGGTTTCGGCGGCCTGCGGTGTGAGATAGTGACAGTGTCTGGCATTGTTGCGGAGGTGGGGGAAGGCAGAGCGGGTCATGGCATGGATGTGGGATAGAAAAGATAGTTGAGGGTCAAACAAGATGCCAAGATTTCAGACTGGCTTAGCAAGGTGGAGTGTGCAACCATGGAAGGTGCTGCTGCTGCTGTTACGTCAATCAGGAGCCTCGGTTTTGTTGACATTCAACTGAAGAAAGTTAGCACTCATCCAGGACTTGATGTCTGACAGACATTCTGTCAGGATAGCAGTGGTCCTGGAGTCAATGGTTGAGCCAGAGAGGTACAGTTGGGTGTCATCCGCATGTGGAGTCCTGTAGCTCAGTGGTTAGAGCGCTCGCCTAGCAAGCGAGACACCTGGGTTCAATTCCAGGCAGGGCAAAACCCTGGGCAAGTTTCCTTACTCCACACGCCTAATAATAATCCTTCCACAACAAAAAACAATAATAAATTGGTCATTTTCAATCCACGACTGTTTTTGGGGACGTTGTTGTGCGCAATTGGCTGCCGCATTTCACCCACAAATTTACGGTCAATTCACTTTACAGCATATTATGTGAAGCGCTTTCAGACGTCCAGAAGATGTGAAAAGTGCTATATTAGATGCAAGGATTATTATTATTATTATCATACATGTGGAAGTTGACCATATGTCTGCGGATGATGTCACCAAGAGGGTGCATACAGATATTGAAGAGGAGGGGAACAAGGACGGAGCCCTGAGGAATGCCACACAAGATGGTGAGAGGTACGATCTGAATAATTCAATGACAGAGCCGCCGTGAAGGTTGAGTTGAGAGGAGAGGAGGTGGAGGAGGATAGTGATCAATGTCGTCAAAGGCTGCAGAGAGGTCAAGGAGGACCAGGAGGCAGAGGGAGCCCTGGTCATAGATGTACAGAATGTAATTTGTCTCTTTGACCAGGGCTGTTTCTGTGCTGTGGGCGGCACGGAGACCCGATTGGAGGGGTTCGTGAAGGGAGTAACGGGAGAGGAAGGAGCAATGCTGGGAAGCAATAATTCATTCCGGAACCTTGGAGAGGAAAGGGAGGTTGGAGATGAGGCAATAGTTTGAGAGCAGGAATGTTTTTTAGGGAGGGTTTTTTTAAGAATAAGAGTGATGAAGACCGTTCTTAAAGGGGTGGGAATGGTACCAGTGGACAGGGAGAGGATGATGCTTGTGATTAGAAGGGAAAGGAGGTGGAGAATGGAGGTAAGGATAGGGGTAGGGATGGGGTCGAGAGAGTAGGTGGTCAGTTTCATGCGGTTATAATGGTGGTAACAGAGGAGTGGGAGACAGGTTCAAAGGTGTGGAGGGAGGGATGGGTAGGGCCGTGGTGTGAGGGGGAGATGGGGAGGAGGATAGTAGATGTAGCGGCAGAGCAGCTGAGCCGATCCCCTCGACTTTGGATTCGAAGAAGTCCAGCATCGTCTCGCAGTTGGCATCGAAGGTGAGGATGGGCGAGGTGTGAGAGGGTGTGCGGAGGAGGCGGTTTGTGATGGAGAAGAGGAGCCTGGGGTTGTCCTTGGCCTCCAAGATTGTCTTGGAGTAGAACAACGATTTAGCGGAGGCGAGGCAGAGCGGTAAGATTAGATAAAGTCCAGCCAGATCTGCCGATGGACCGTTAAGTTCAATTTAAGCCAGTTTCATTCAGCAGCACATACCTGTGCTTTAAGGGAATGGAGATGACCGTGGTGACTTTCATGTGTAGGAGACAGTTCAGGAAGTGTGGGCAGCAAGGGAATTGAGAGGGAGCTGTGGAGAAGAGTGACCAAGGAGGCTAGGTCATTGCGGGAGAAAGCCCAGAGGGGGAGGAGTTCAGATAACTCCAAGGCAGTGGAGAGGGAGTGGTGGGGAGATATTTTTCCAGGGGCGGTCGCACAAAATATACATCCAAACCACTTTACAATATATCCCTTGAAATGCTTTGAGACATGACTGGTGTGATAAGCCACGACAAATGCAAGGATTAATATTATTATTATCAGGAAGGGGGGAAGGGGGCTGGGTGATGCAGGATTGTGTAGGGGGGATTGGAGAAGAGGGAGGAAAGGAGAAGGGTTGGCGTGGGATTTGTCAGCGTATAAGAGCAGATACAGTGTCAGGAAAGCTAAACTCACATAGGAACAATGGAACATAGGAACAGGAGTAGGCCATTCCTGTGGAGTCCTGTAGCTCAGTGGGTAGAGCACTCGCTTTGCAAGCGAGAGACCTGAGTTCAATTCCAGACAGGGCGAAACCTTGGGCAAGTTTCCTTACTCCACACAGAGCCTAATAATAATCCCTCCAAAATCCAAAAACAATAATAAATTGGTCATTTTCAATCTACGACTGTTTGTGGGACATTGCTGTGCGCAATTGGCTGCCGCGTTCGCCCACAAATATACAGTCAACTCACTTTACAGTGTGTTCTGTGAAGCGCTTTGGGACGTCCTCCTGACGTGAAAAGCGCTATATCAAATGCAAGGATTATTATTATTATTATTATTATTCAGCCCTTCAAGCCTGTCCCACCAATCTATAAGAATAGATCATGGCTGATCTCGTCCCCAACTCCATTTAACTGCCTTTGCCCGATATCACGTAGAAGAGCATCAATTCAGGAATACCTGTCATTAGCTAACCTGTGTCAGAATTCACACTACTGACTATAATGGGGTCAATCATTTGTATTGATCTTCCCTTACAGGTATGGACATTCCACTCCTCATTCAGTCTCCAGCACAGGAACATGTCAGAGAGGGACATAAGGCTCAGTTATATTGCGCTGTGCACAACGCCAGTGTGAATGTCATTGATGTACACTGGTACCGACAACGCCCAGGAGGACACCAGAAGGAGTGGTTGCTAACACACATGGTAAATGGCACTGTGCGGAGGTGCCAGACTTGTGCCTTGGCTCTCCAGCCTTCCAGAGACACCTCCAACAACACCTTCACTCTGTCAGTCCTAAATGTGCTGTTCAGTGATGTTGGAGTCTATTACTGTGCTGTGTGGGAAGATGTCTTTGGGAATGGCACCGAGCTGAATGTAACAAGTAAGTACATCAGGAAAGGGGGGGAAGAGTTATGGGTTCAAGCCCCACATTTTGACTTGGAATCACATCATCTAAGACGCTGGAATGCAGCGCTGGGGGAGTGCTGCATTTTCGGAGGTTCTGTCCTTCGGGTGAGACATTAAGCCAAGGTCCCACCTGCCTGTTCAGGTGGACTTTAAAGATCCCATGGCACTGTTCAAAAAGAGAAGGGAGTTTCTCTCTCCCGGTGTCCTGGCCAACAATCCCTCATATAAAATTAGTCACTCACTACATGACTGTTTGTGGAACACTGCTGTGCACAATTGACTGCCACAGTTTGCCTACAAAATGCACAGTCACTCCACTTACTTTCCACAGTACATCCAGTGAAGAGTTTCGAGACGTCTCAATGACATGATAAGGCGATACATCAAATGCAAGGGTTCTTATTATTACAGCAGATACAATGTCAGGAATGTTAAACTCACACAAAACGGCATCAATTTAGGAATGCCTGTCATGACCTAACCTCCAGCATTCACATTATTGCCAAAAATAGGGCCAGCCTGGCTCTCGCCTCCGCATCAGAAGGTTGTGGGTTCCAGCCTCGCATCAGGACTTTGAACTAATGCAGTCTCGTCCGGCACTCAAATGCAGTGCTTTACAATATATTCTGTGAAGCGCTTTGAGATGTCTCGATGACATAAGGCGCTATATCAAATGCAAGGATTATTATTATTATCATTATTATTATCTTTTTTTTTTCACATGAGAACCCGGGAGTGATAGCCTCAGCTCGGTCATTGTGTTTCTCATACTGGTGATCTGCATCATCGCGGTAGTCACTCTTCTCTACATGTTTTGGAAGCGGTTTGGAAACAAACGATCCCGTGAGTACTGCTTACAATTCAGGCAAAATATACCACCAGCAATCCCAGCAGCTCTGTAACAGACCATTGTGGGCCATTGAGCCAACCCCAGAGTGATTATACTAATGTTTCACCACTCCTTCCCATCACGGCCAACACAACCATCTTCTAATTAATGAATAAAATTAGGTCACTTAATTAATGAAACTAATTCATATAAAGTCCTTCAGCCGTGATCTAATAGAATGGCGGAACAGGCTCAAAGGGGCTGAATGACCTACTCCTGTCCCTATGTTCCTATCCGAGGATTTGTTTTGAGGCTCCTGCCTCATGTGAAAAATACGATATCAAATAAAATTTACTATTATTATTATTGTAATAAACTATGCTGAGTGACACTTTGTGATTTCTTTTGCAACAGGCTCTGTTTTGAAATCTCAAAAGGAATATTTTAAACGCCAGAATCAGGTAAGTGTGTGGTCAGTTGGGTCTGTCGGTGTGTCTTGGGGTGACTGCATGCTGCTGATGTGCTTCTCTTGGTGTTTATCTCCCTGATCAGGACATCATTCAAGCACTAGCTAGACCAAGTGTCAAATAGCGAAGTTAGAAGAAATTCCTTCACACCGAGAGAGTAGTGGGAATGTGGAAAGTGCTACCACAAGGAGTTGTTGAGATGAATAGTATAGATGTATTTAAGGGGAAGCTGGATAGGTACATGAGGGAGAAAGGAATAGAAGGTTCTGCTTGAAGGCTTAGTTGAGGAAAGGCAAGAGGAGGCTCATGTGGAGCATGAATACCGGCATAGACCAGTTGGGCTGAATGGCCTGTTTCTGTGCTGTATATTCTAATGTATTCTAATGTAAGTGTCAACCTGCTCAGTCAGTCAGGCTTTCACTGATAGTTGTGTGCTTGAGGCAACCCCACCCCCTTCCATGTTTCGTTCACGTTTCTGGGCTTGCTCCCTCCTACCTCTCTGACCTACTATCCCCCTACCTACCTGCCCGTACCCTCCGTTCCTCTGGCTCCGGTCTGCTCCACATCCCCCGCCCCAACCGCCCTACCATCGGTGGTCGGGCCTTCAGCCTCTCAGCCCCGAGGCTCTGGAACTCCATCCCCCAGTGCCTTCACCGCCTCCTCCCTTTCCTCCTTCAAGGCCGGTCTCAAGACCTTTCTCTTTGACCGAGCCTTCAGCTCCCCTCTCGACTCTCTACCCCCTCCTCGTTCCCTCCCTTCCCTCCCCTCACCCTGACCATTTCCCCCCTGCTCGGGTCCTGACCCAACTGTACAGCGCCTTGGGACGTCCTCCCGACGTGAAAGGCGCTCTATAAATGGAATCTTGTTGTTGTTGTTGTTGTTATTGTTACACTTCAATGGGAAGTGAAGAGATATTCAACCAAGCTCCTCATCTGCCTGTTCAGGTGGACGTTCAAAGATCCCATGACACTATCCGGAAAGTGAAGGAAGTTTCTCCCAGTTTCCTGGCCAACAATCCTCCAGACAATGGAGGATGATAATGGATAATAGAGTCCTGTAACATATTGGTTAGAGCACTTGCCTAGCAAGCGAGAGGACCCGGGTTCGATTCCCGGGTAGGGCGAAAAATTAGGCAAATTTCCCTACTCCACACGCCTGTTTACCTAGAACCAAGTAGGAATCTGGTTGTTATTCGATTGGCAGATCAATTTCCGGTGGTAATAATCCCTTACAAGAAAATAATAAATTGGTCATTCAATCCACGACTGTTGTGGGACACAAAAGTCGTGGATTGAATGACCAATTTAATCCACACGTTGGCTGTTAAGTTTCGTCCACAAAATACATAATCAATGCAGCACGTCCCCAATACTGCATTGCAGTTTCAGCCTGGACACGGTGGGATCAAATTGCTGATGTGGGGTTTGAAACCACAGCCTTCAGGCTCAGAGGCAGTGCAAGGAAGTGGTAAGTTGTGGGAGAACTTAACAGGAATTGGAGTTTAAATGTTATAGGCACCATATGACATGTAATGTTATTCCTTAGGCTGACAGCAGTCTGTTGCAGTGCTCTGAGATACTACCTTACATGACGGTTATTGTTGTTACAGTTTCTCTGAGGCTTCTCTGTTTTCTCTCTGTTGCAGTTCTCAACAGATCCTAAAGAGTCTTCAGAGACCATCTACGCGGTAAAAAAAAACCACTCTATTTTACTTAAAACTTAAAGTTATGCTCAGCCAGTCTTTCTTTGGAACAATGTGGTGAAATGCCTTCTTTTTAAGAACTGCAGTGAACAGACTTCTCGATTCATACCGGATTTTAGAAATGTCCTCACCTTTGTGCCATCTTGCAGAATCCCCAAACCGCCCTCCATTCCTCCCTGCCATAGATAGCTTTTGGTCGATTGGCAGATCAATTTCCGGGGGTAATAATCCCTCCAAAAAAATAATAATAATTTGGTCACTCAATCGACAACTGTTTGTGGGACACTGCTGTGTCCAATTGGCTGCCACGTTTCACCGCAATATACACAGCCAATTCACTTTACAGTATATTCTGTGACCCTCTTTTGCGACTGCTCATTCAGCCATCCTCCTATGCCTACCCTCCCTCCATGCCCTCCACCCCTCCTGATCGCAATCCTCCGCTGTGCGTAATTGGCTGCCACGTTTCAGCCACAAAATACACTTTCGTTCCATTTTACAGTATACTGTGTGAAGCGCTTTGAGACATCTCAAATTATTATTATTATTATCGTCTCATTCTGTTCATCACCTCTTGCCAAACATTTCTCCTCTTTGCCTGTACCAGGCTCCGTGACTCTATCAACCCCACCCTGGCCCGATTCCACTGGCTCCCCATTCCCCAGAGGATCAAGTTCAAAATCCTTGTCCTCGCCTTCAAAGCTCCTCCGCAGCCTTGCTCCTCCCAACCTTTGTGACCTGCTAACTCCACTCCCTCTGCTCAGCGGGCTCCGGCCTGGTCCATGTCCCTCGTCCGGCCTGCCCCAGCATCAGTGGTCGGGCTTTCAGCCTTTCTGCTCCCACCCTTCAGAACTCCATCCCATAGTCCCTTCCCCTCGCCCCCTCCCTTGTCTCCTTCACCCTTCTCAAGACCGTCCTCTTCGGCCGTGCCTTTGGCCACCTTCCTAACAGCAGCCCTCCTGATCCCAACCCGCAGCTCGAGTCCAAATCCATGAAAGTCCAGTACCTTGTGAAGTCCTCCCAACATGAAAGACACTGTATAAATGTTGTGTGTGTTGTTGTTGTTGTTGGAAAGACTGTCAAGTGTAAGAGGAACAACAGCAAAATTACATGCGTATAGCACCTTTCACGTCGTGAGGACATACCAAGGCGCTGGATAGTATTTTGAAAAGGAAAGTGACGGACCTCCCTTCACATTCATGTCACCAGTCACAGCAGCCTGAGGTCCACATTGTACCACAGTGTGACCCTCTTCGAGTTCAGTGTTAAAAACGCCTTAAATTTGATATAGAACAAACGAACAGAATGTATGCGTACGTTGCTGTTCTAATTCCACGGTACCTTCGTCTTCCTAGTTACATACTTTAGATTTATGGCTGCCCTCATCATTTCCCCATCAAGCTGTTTCTTCGCACTAATTCTCATTTTATTGGCAAGCTGTGCAGTTTTTGCTGACTCAAGCAGTGCGCCAACACACACTTTGGGATCTCCAAGCCTTGGCTCTTGCCAACTTGCGCTTAATACTTTCTGGAATTAGGTCAGCAGGATGCATCCCTCCAGGTCAAGAGTGCCCATTCCTTTCCAGTAATCTATCTCCGGGATTTCCATGTGTAGGTGGGATGCTTGGACTTCTCAGTTTGGCTTGGATATTCTTAAGCACGGTGATGGGTTTCCGCACAGCTTTGGCCACCCTCCTACCTTACCCTCCCTGCCCTCCACCCACCCTAATCCCAACACTCAACTCGGGTCCAAATCCCTGACTGTCCAGTGCCTTGGGGAGTCCTCTTGACATGAAAGGCGCTGTACAATAATATAATTTTGTATTGTATCACTCTGTTCTCATCGCTGTATGTTCTCCTCACTCTCCATTCTCCTTGCTCTCCATACTTAATCATTCTCGGATCTTCATCCATTTCCAGTTGTTTCTTTTTCTTGCAGAACCTACAGGATTTCGGTTTGGAACTTAACGATATCTACACGGTAAGAACCTCCGGGGTAAACCGGCGACGTTTCTTCACTCCACCCTTGTGTTGATCAGCACATCGCATCAAGTGAGTCCGCCAACTGCACAATCTCACCAGCAAAAAAAAAAGGAAGCATTTCAATTCTATCTGAATGCTCTGGAGAATATACGCCACACATCATGGATGGCTTCCAACATGTCGAATTAGCACAACTCCATCCTTGTATTAATTAGCACATCAAACCTGGGGCGGGGCGGGGGGGGTGGGCAGGGAACAGGGGTCTCCTTGGAGCTGAATTGGCTCCACGGTGACATGCTTTGCAACGTGATGCTTGGAATTCTCAGTTTGGTTTCGAGACTCTTAAGCACGGCGATGGGTTTCTGCATGTGTCCAAAATTCTCATTTTATTTTAAACTTTCTCCCTGTTACCAACGGAAACCTCCCTCCCTGTTACTTTCCATATAACGCTGCCTCCACCATCACGTGCCCCTGACACCCCGGCTGAGCAAACAGAAAACCCATCAGCAGGGGCGTCTGAAAGCACTTCACAGGATTTACTGTCATGTGTAGTGACTGTTTAATTTTCGGTAAAGGAGAATGTGTCAGCCAAGTCTAAGTTAAAAAAAAGATTTGCAATTCAGAGTGACTCAAGCAGTCGCTTGCTGTAACTCGTTAACACTTTATTCTTTTCCTTCCTGATAGAACGCCTAGCAACAAAGTAAAGTCAGTTCAGAAATGGTAGGTTTTTCACACACTCTTGCACCAACACCCACCCTCATCCGCACCCTCCCCACACCCCACCCTCCTCCCACTATATTAACAATATTGGCAACTATATAAAACACAAATACTGTATTAAATTCTACAGTATTTGTATTTGTTGGAGTCCTGTGGCTCAGTGGTTAGAGCACTCGCTTTGCAAGCGAGACACCTGGGTTCAATTCCAGACAGAGGGCGAAACCTTGGGCAAGTTTCCTTACTCCACACAGAGCCTAATAATAATCCCTCCAAAACCCAAAACAATAATAAATTGGTCATTTTCAATCTACAACTGTTTGTGGGACATTGCTGTGCGCAATTGGCTGCCGCGTTCGCCCACAAATATGCAGTCAATTCACTTTACAGTGTGTTCTGTGAAGCGCTTTGGGACGTCCTCCCGACGTGAAAAGCGCTATATCAAATGCAAGGATTATTATTATTATAGTATTTAGACACATAGAAACAGGAGGTCAGATATAAAAACTCCCTGTAGAGGGAGCTTTACTGTGTATCTAACCTCCTCCTGTTTCTGTGTTCCTACGTACAATGCAAAACACATTAATATTAATGCAGCACCTTTTATGTTGGGAGGATATCTCAAACTTGAGGCAGAAACCCGCCTGCTGATAGTGGGGCAGATAGGGCGGGGGACATGACACGGGCCAAATGGTGCAGCGCACTTGGAGGGAGACGAACTTCTGCAGGTTTATTTCACACCTGAAAATAATAATAATAATAATCCTTGCATGTGAGATGGCGCCTTACCACGTCATTGAGACGTCTCAAAGCACTTCACAGAATATACTGTAACGTGTGTCCTTTTTATGGGTGAAACGCAGCAGCCAATTGTGCACAGCAGTGTCCCACAAACAGTCATGGATTGAGAGGCCACATTTTTTGCGGGGAGGGTAAGATTATTACCCCAGGAAAGCGATCGTCAACCGGGTTTCTACTTACTGCTAGGTAAAGAGTGGAGTAAGGAAATTTGCCTAAAGTTTTGCCCTGCCCGGGAATCGAATCCGGGTCCTTGTGAGGCGAAAGCTCTAAACACAACGCTACAGGACTCCACAGAACAGGTTATTGACTGCAATGCTCAGCATCAACTGATTATTTTTCTTTGTGTCTAATCAGGCAGTGGACCACGGTGTCTGCTGAGCTGAGTGACGGGTTCTGATGTGATTTACCAGATGGAGCGTCCCGGAAAGACATCTTATTGTGATCAACTGTGCAGTCAACGTTCTCAATATCTGTACTTAAGTGTAACATGGATTTACATTTACATTAAAAAATGTTTTGCTTAGCCGGTTGTCTGACACGTGCAGAAACCCAGCAACGGGCTTAACAGTATCCAAACCAAACTGAGCATTCCACTCATCCTACCTATACATGGAAATTCCTGAGACTGTTGGAAGGGAATGCGCACCCTCTCCCTAATTCCGGAAAATATTAGGCACAGGTTGGCAGGAGCCAAGGCTTGGGGACCCCAGAGTGTGCGTTGGGGTACCAACTGAAGTTCAACCAGCTAAAACCGCATAGCCTGCCATTGAGAGCACTGTCTGCCCAACCTTCCCGCTGCTTGTCCAGCTCGGACCACCCTACCCATTAGGGCTTTGGCTTGCAGGGTTAGCAGGAGCTGAGTGCGATGATTCCCTGCCCCCAGTGACTGGTCTGCCCTTCCAAGTCCTGCCATTGATCCAGACTGGCTGTGCTATCATTAGCAGTATCTTGGAAGACTGCAGATCCACATGGCTCAGGAACCAGACTAGGGTTCATCGCAGAGGGCTCGCTCGACATCCCGTTGCCTAAATGTCACTTCGGAGCCAGTTAAGCTCCAACAATACCCCACTTATCCCCGCCACCCCCTGTGAAGCACTTTGATTCCTTACACAGAGGGTAATTAACGACTGGAACAGGGTCACTAGGAAGGGTGGTTGAGGCCAGGACACTGGGACTCGTTTAAAACGTAGCTTGATGCTGTGATGGGATGGACAGTTGTGTATGTGTGTGTTTGTGACAATCTGCTGAGGTGAAAGGCGCTGTATAAATGTATGTATAAATGTATAACGGTTGCTGTCATCGCATGTTTTATCTAAGACTCTTCGGGTTTTTCCTACCATCTCTATTGTTAGTCGGGTCTCTATTATTAGTCGAGCCTCGAGTCCGTCTTTATTTAATCACTTCTGACCTGTAAATAAAGCTTGTCTTTGGTTTGAATTAATCCACGTCAACTCGTACTTTGTCTGCCTTCCAACACAGACTACGAGCGGTCTGGGGTTATGGGAATGATGTACAATATAGAGGTGAAGATTTAATGTGTATAAATCGTTAGTTAAACCACGGTTAGAGTTTTGTGTCAATGGTTTGAACTATTAATAATAATCCTTGCATATGATATAACGCCTTATCACGCCACTGAGACGTCTCAAAGAGCCTCACAGAATATACTGTAAAATGAATTGACTGTGTATTTTTTGGCCAAAACGCGACAGCCATTTGCATACTGTAGCGTCCCACAAACAGCCGTGGATTGAGTGACCCCCATTTTTTTTGAAGGGATTATTACTCCCGGAAAGTGAACCCGCGAATTGACTAACAGTGGGGCTCCTACTTACTGTTAGGTAAACAGAGGCGTGTGGAGTAAGAAAACTTGCCTAAGGTTTTGCTCCGTCCGGGAATCAAACCCAGAAGTTCAGTCGGAGGTGAAGCTTAACCTCAACAGCAACAACAACTTGCACTTATATAGCGCCCTCCACTCAGGGTAGCGTCTAGAGCGCTGCATAAATAGTTAGTTAGAACGCAGAGTGTCGGGTCAATGGTCTGAACACCATGTAACCACATCCTGACTATCCGTGTGACTATCACCCTATGTGGTAGAACATGTTGATGTCATGTGTTTTCTTATCTGCATTAGAGCTGCATTGCTATTGTCCCAATTGGTTTTATGGTCCTGTTGGATGGTTCAGTTGGATGTTAAAGATGTTCAGGGCAGTGCTGGCGGAGTGCTACATTGTTGGAGGTGCCATCCTTTTGGGGCATAGCGGTTGAAAGCACGGCCATCAATGGTGGAATGGAGGGCATGAGGGACACGCAGGAGCCCGGAGCCAGTCGATCACAGGCAACAGGTTGTAGGTTGGGGGTTAAGCAGGTTGGAGAGGTAAGGATGTGCCAGGGCATGAAGGGCTTCGAAGACGAATGGAGTCTAACCAGCTAAAACCTTATTGCTTGCCATTGAGAGCACTGTTGGCAAGCTTTCATGTTGCTTGTCCAGCTACGATCACTTAATAACTTAATAACCCTAATAGGGCTTCGGCTTGCAGGGTTAACAGGAGATGAGTGAGAGGATTGCCTGCCCCCCCAGTGACTGGTCTGCCCTTCCAGGTCCTGCCGGTAAGCCGGGCTGGTTGTGCTGTCAACAGCAGTGCCCTGGAATACTGCAGACTCACCTGCCTCAGGAATCGGATTAGAGACCACCACAGAGGGCTGCTCGATTCCGACATTCCTATAGTTTACTCTTTTGTGATTGTGCAACATTGGTTCAGGGTTTAGAAGGAAAATTCAGGACAGACCCCATGAAGTATTTCTTTACCCTGAAGGTAGTTATATTAATAATTATAATCTTTGCATTTGACACAAAATATAGTCAATTCAGTTCACGGTCTATCAGGTGAAGAACTTTGAGACGTCTTGAAGACAGTGATAATGCGCTTTATTAAATGCAAGGATTATTATTATAGCACATAGTCACCTTGTCAAGACATCTCAAAGATGGGACCTCGGCTTAACGTCTCATCCGAAGATCTCATCCGAAGATGGATTTCAGATTCAGAAAGTAAGACATTTCAGATATTGACCAAAGGGCTATGAATCGTGAAGCCAGGAGGGGCACTGCAGTTATCTGGATAAAAAGGCATCAAAAAGAGATTCAGGTCTCTGAGATGCTATCCCAAGTTGTTATCGTCGTTGTTGTTGACATCACTCCCTTTATCTTGCCCCTCTTGCCCCATTTTCAGATCACACCTGAAGACTTCCACTACGACCATGCATATCACATCATTGAGATGCTTTGCAAATGTACTGTAAAGTTAATTGATTGTATTTTTTTAAGGGATTATCAGTCCAAGAATGCGATCTGCCAATCGACTAACATTTCAGCAAACAGAGGGGTGTTGAGTAAGAAATCTTGCTTTAAGTTTCGTCCCCCGCCCGCGATCGTACCCGGTTCTTTTCGCTTGCAAGGCGAACTCTCTGACCACTATGCTAATTATAACGCAAGGTATCATTGCATGGACCTTTGCTACAGTGGCGTGTTACAAGAGGGTCGAGTTGTGGAATGCTTCGCTTATGGCAAATATCTCTATGTGAGAGCCCACCAGGGGGGAAAAGGAGATGCGAAGCTCTTTGCCGACCTCACGCTCCGAGTTTAGATCTATCGTTGTCATAGCAACAGCCGATTTAGGAGAAAGCGAGAATGAATACAATTAGCTCTGAACCTGTGCGTTACCATTGTGGAATTATTCCCATTTGCCTCGCCAGACATTCAAACCTACATTAAAGTCGCTAAGAGTGAATAAACAGTGCGTCCGTCCGTGGTACTCAAACATTGGAACATCTATACCCCGAGCGGAAATGCGATCCTGCCCGTAGCAAATAACATCAGAACAGTTCCAGGCAACACTACACCATTTGTATACGTGTTTCACCTCAAGAAGGAGTCAACCAGCCTGGCTCAGTTGGTAATAATAATAATCCTTGCGTTTGATATAGCGCCTTATCACGTCTTCGAGACGTCTCAAAGCGCTTCACAGAATATACTGTAAAGTGAATTGACTGTATACTTTGTGGGCAAAAATGCGGCAGCCAATTGTGCTCAGCAGCGTCCCACAACATTTATTGTTATTTATTGGTTTATTTTTTTTCAAGGTATTATGAGCCCTGGAGAGGGATCCGCCAATCAACTAACAACCGGGTTCCTACTTACCGCTAGATAAACAAAGACGCGTGGAGAAAGGAAACTCGCCCCGCGCGGAAATCA